CCAGCTGATGAAAAGAACCATTTGAACAAGAAATATTTTGGGGAGCTCGTGCGTTTAAACTCAAACATACAAACTCTGTACATTGGCGGCCACTTCGATGCCAAATACCTTCAGAACGTTAGCAAATATCTACAGCGTCTGGAAAGCCTGAAAATCTCTTCATATCAACACTTGTCAGATATTGGAAACGGTACCGTGCGTTTTCCAAATGTGAAAAGGCTTCATTTATGGGGCACGGCATTAGACCATTCGTTGACTGATTTCATCAGCCAACACAAAAAACTTACCAAGCTGACTTTTTCTTCGTTTGGACATCGTGAAGAGGGTGCACTATTGAAGATTACTTCGCCAGCATTAGTTGAAGTGGATTTTGGTAATTGCCGTTTTCCGTCTGATGAAGTGGCTTCTTTTGTGGCTGAATGCCCATCGCTGAAGAAGCTAACAGTTGCATTCGGTAACGAAAACGATTACAAAGCTTTTCAGAAGTGGTTGGGCAATGAATGGCGTGAAATCAAAAAATACAGCTATTTCCATATCTGCAGAGTTACGATTGAACGTTAAGTCAACTTCGTAAAATCACAAATACATTTAAATTCATGAAATAAGTAGAACCTATTTTCACTCAAATATGAATAATCGGCTCAGGTGAACATACATTCTACTTTAAACATAATATCTAAACAGCAGCCAGTCACATTTCCATCCGAAAAGCACATCGAAATTAACTTGATTTATAATTAAGAGGAAAAAACATTCAAAGAGAATTTGAACAAATATATCATGTACTCTTGTAATGGCTCTGAATAGATACTTTGTGAAATTCGACGCCAAATTCAATATTACCTATATTTCGGTTCATTTTTGTCATTCACAAATCACAATCCAAATTCAATCTGAAGTTTCTTTAAAGTAAATTTATGTCGAAAAATAGCTATAAGAAAACAACTTGAATTATTATCTAAGCAAAAAAGATGTCAGGAAACATACAATTCTATGTAATAAATATCCGAAACGGTTGACAAAAAGCAATTTGCACATCCACTTAGTTTGTTCTTTTATCATTTTTTTTTCTATTGGTCAACAGAAAATAGCAGAATCAAGCAGAATCAAGAGCGAATTTGAAGGAAAATGGGCATGAAATAGCCAAAGGTTGGAAAAATAGACAAAAAGAACTGAAATAATATGGAAATACTCTGAAAAATCCTGTTTCGGTGGAATTGCACACAATTATCATTCCAATTTGTTCTCATTTGAAACATTGAACATTTTGTTGTCAAAGCCCGGGACAATTTGAACAGTATTCAACGATGGCAATAATTCAACGTGCGGGTAACACCAAATTGACATTTCACAACAGCGTCGTCTTTCACAATCGCATCGATTCCAAGTCACAACAAGTTTAAATGCTGTCAAATGTAATCATAGCTCCACAATTTGATCGCATAAACACGAAAAATATTCTGAAATTGTTGATTTTCCCATTTATTCCTTGAGCAAATCTAGTGAAAGGTGTATTCACTATAAGAAATTATAACCAAACACCAAAAGCCATAGAATTTACCGTGTTCATCGCATTGTTTTTTCTGAAAGTGTAAGTACTGTTCTGAACATTGCATTTCTTAGTTCATGAAGTGAAGAGATTGCGACTCAAGTTTGATTCAATTGCGATTTTATCAATTTTGCCATTTTTTGTCAAGTTCAACGCTTATTTCCAAAGAGATTGATTTGAAAAGTTGAACGAATTGTGCAAATTCAAGATTGCAATTTTTGTAGCAATTCCAATAGTATGGCCAAACAAAAATGAATAACGTTTTCAATCCCTCAATATTGGCTTTCAGATTGGCGAAATAATCTCAATGAAAGATGGATAATCGTAAAGAAGCCGCCAGTCGGAAGCAACAACCAGAAGAAGCCAAAACACTGGCGAGCAAACGCTTCAAATCAGCTGAGGCCGTGTCTGCAGACGCGGTAAGTATCATAATGAAAATAATTACTTTGTTTACAATTTTTAGCGTTTTATTGGAATATTTGAAAGGAGCTCAAACATTATATCAAGCTCGCATTATATTGACCAATCAACTAGTTCCATGTATTCTTTGTTTCAATGCACTGCATTGCATTGCAGAGAGAGCTCATATTGTGAACGTATAACTTAACCTCAAAATTTGTGTTCAATTGACATTGTAACCAAAGTCGATGCAAAATCAATGGACTTTTGTGGGAAACTTTTATATTTTAATCAAAATTTGGATTGAGAAAACTAACAATTTCGTGTTTATTCTGTTTTCAGAAATATGCATCCGGCAAAACAGCCCAGCAGCCGATGAAGATCTATTACACAAGACTGCGACGGCGTATGGAAGAGGAAGAGAAGCAAGCAAAGCTAATTCTGGAGCCCATCGTTTGCATCACAAAGCTGACAGACGTCAATGTTGATTGCCTAGAGCACATTTTCAGTCATTTTAGCCTCACAGATCTCTTGAATGTGGCCAGCTCCAACAAACAGTTGAAACCAGCGGCGGATTTGGTATTCGCGAGTCGGTATGGGAAACAATCGATAGAAATCAATTTAGAATTCAAGTTAGTACGTATTTTTGAATGGAACCAGCAAATTCTATGGTCGTTCTGCTTCAAGTTGCTTCGTTGCTTCGGGCACTCGATCACAAAACTAAAAATTATTTATGGCTCATCGCAAAATGCAACGCTAGACGTAAAAATTGATCGTTATGTCAGCAAATACTGTGCCAAGTCACTGGTGGAAATCGAATTAAAACATTGCGCATCACGCACGTTGAACGATCTGAAAAAGCCATTCTCATCAGTTGAATCACTATATTTTGTTAGCTGTGAATTGGG